CTATCAATACCCTAGATCGAGGTTACAACCGGAGATCTTAAAGCAACCCGTTAGGAGCCAAAGAGGCTTCTCAGATTTTGTAACAAGGTAGAGGGCCAAGGCTTCGATGATTACTACCAGGCCATCGAGAAGGATCAAATTAGGATGGTGGTGCATAATTTGTAAGGAAAATTATTACAGAAGATGATTGTCTTGCCGTGTTCACATTCACTGAGCTCCAACGAGATAGGGTTTAGATTGAGATGCAATGAAATAGGGGTTGAATAATCGATGAGAAGGAGCAGCCCAGAGGCCTTTTTCACGCAGTTCCAATGCAACCGCTAGTGGAAGCACAACTGCACGGCCATCTTGATGTTTTAGTGTTGTCACACTACAGCCAAGACCGCCAAACCCTTTCGTCAGCATAACTCATGAACCTTAAACAACCAGGCTGATCTCAAAGGGTCTTTGCCCACTCTATATGCCTTTACCCCAAGCCCTTGAGGGTGTTGATCAAAAAGGGGCATCTTAAGCCGTTGGAGCAACGCCACTACTTGATCCTCTCCCACCTACACACAACCAGCCAAATACTGTGCTTGTTTACAGCAACATGGTCACGACAACCACCATGCTACATGTTGTGTCATGAGATTCAAGATCTCATCGACAACAAGGTGATAGCACCACCCACAAGCCAAATGTAACCACTAATCTCTCCGGCCCACACCAGGTTCCCCACCTCGGAACCTAAACCTAATACATACACTGGCCATCCCATATGACCCTACACTACAAGAATTAACACTTTTGGCAACAAAAAAATTGGTCGCCTAAAAGTCAATTTTTGGTCGGAAAAGTTATCCGCGAACCAATTTTTTTGGTCGCTACTTTGGCGCCAATTGAGGGTCGGCAAAGTAATTCGCGACCAAAATTGTGGTTGGTCGGCAAAAGTTAGATTTCGCGACTAAATTTTTGGTCGCGTAAATATTTAATTACCGCGACTAATTTATTTTGTCGCCAAAACACTTTGGTCGCAAAAAGTGATATTTTCCCGACCAAAAAGTTTGGTCGCCAATTATTCACATTCAACGACCAAAAAGTTTGGTCGCCAATTGTGACATTCCGCGACCAAAAAGTTTGGTCGCAATTATCACATTCAACGACCAAAAATTTTGGTCGCCAATCGTGACATTCCGCACCAAATTTTGGTCGCCAACGTGACATTCCGCGACAAAAAGTTTGGTCGTCAATTGTGACATTTCTACGACCAAAAAAGGTTTTGGTCGCCATTGTTGTTACTTTTCGCGACCAAAACTTTTGGTCGGCAAAACTGAGTTTCCACGACCAAGAGCTGTTTTGGCTGCAATAAATGTATTTTTTGCTGACCAAAACTCTTGGTCGGCAATTGTTCTTTTTACGAAAAAAAAATATTTATTTGTCGCGGACTAATAAATTGGTCTCCAAGCAAGGAAAACAATACACCTGTAATTCCTAATAATTCATTCAATCCATAATAAACCTATAATTTTAAAGCAACATTCAAATTAACTGAATCATTAACATTCGACACAATACATAATTCATTAACATTTCGACACAATACAACTATATTACTATTCTAAGTTTTCATTCACAAGTCACACCCATCTAGCATAACAAATTGAAACAATACATAATTCAGATTTACAGCATCAGGAAAATTTCTTAATCCACTAAGTTGCCTTGATAGCCAATCAAAAAATCCTTGCGCCCTTCCGTGCCACGCTTCGCATTCATCAAAGCAGTAGTGATGTAAGGCACTTAATAAAGAAACAGAATTGGAAAATTTATCAGAGAAGCATGATAGTGGCAGCAACACTGGATTGCAAACCCGTATCTTTGCAAAAATCAATTAAATCCTATAAACATGTACATCGTATTGAGACAACTACCTGGCATAATAAAACTGTACCTGTTGCTGTACCTGCAAATTTCAGTACACGATGATTAATAAGCTAACAACCATAACAAATACAGGCATAGTTAACTATCAAAGCTCCATTGATTCAGTTCACTTTTATATATGATTTTTTAATAAAGTTGGTAAAGTTTATTTTAATGAATAATACCACAGATTAATTAAAACATGAATGATTCTGATGTTCTTAGTTTTAGATTAAACTTTGGGTTGTAGATGAGCAGCTTGAGCAGACATTCAATCAGCACTGATGATCAAGGCCCCTAATCTAAGTAATCACACACAAAAGATTAACGTGTACCAAAAAAAAATATAAATTTGCAGTTCACATAAATAAGGTGGCATAACATTTGTGCCTCCTTTCCGTTCTCTTTCCCAAGACATCAAGGGAAAGCATATTCATCCATTCTGCTACCCTACCTATTAGATATGATATGAATGAATACATCTGACGAGTTTTCCTTAAAAATAATAATAGAAAACAAAATTCCTTAACCATAACCAGGGAAAACTCCAATAAAAAAAAATCACATTCATTTGAGCAATCACCTTCAACATTTCAGCTACTGTTGTTAGTTGATGGATTGTCAGTTGTGTTCTTCTGCTGTTCTAAGTTTACCAGGTGTATACCATCAAATAAATGTGCTTTCTTTGCTGGTTTTTTTTAATAAATTTTTTTTTTTTTGGCATTAAACCCCAACCTTCTCCTGTGCACCAAGCAGAACATAGAAACTTTAAGAGGGGAAAAAGTAGTAACCTCCATTATTGAATGATCTCGTTCAGCAAATGCAGAACCAACACAACCTTGTAAAAATTTAACCTGCTTCTTCGCTTCCATATTCTTAAAAGGGAAAAATAAATAAATGGAATCAGATTATAAGGATCAATATTATGATGGCCAACCTACCTTGAAAAATATCCCTATTGGATGCCTCTCTGTCCCTACTGAAAACAATGAACCATACCACTGTCAATTTAGACTCTACAAGCCAATCATTAGTTTTCATGCAAAAACAAGACCATCTTGTCTTACAAAAACAAAGGTTGAGGAGCAGCATTAATTGATGTTACTTTCCAGTATTAAGACAGCTTATTACCATTATAAATGATAAACAACCAAAACAAACAGCAATAGAACCCATCATCCAATTAGTTATTCCAGACACACCGACAAGGTGTCTTGTGCATAACTCCTTTCAGAAGCAAATGCTTGAGCATCACTGGCAAAGTAGGGCTTGACGGCTTCAATAAACACATCACACAACTGGAACTGCCACCATGAATATACTGCAGTAGCAGCATCAGAAAATTCATACGAGTCCAGTGATGTCACAGTTTTTGATATGGCCTTGTTTAACACGGAGAGAATCCACTGGCAGTTAAATGGCATGATATCTGGAACCACATTTGTTGGAGGGGTGTAATTATCTCCAAGTTTGAAAACACACAAAGCAAAATTGAAAAGTTCATGCCAGATCCAAATTCTTAAGAACAGTTTTAAAATCATAGAACTCTACACAGAGGTTACATTTAATGATGTACACAGTACATGGGTGTATCATATACACACAACATACATATGATGTTAACGGAGAGTACAATTCATGTCATGAACACTACCAGATATTCATGTTTCATGAAGACCCACACCGTAAATTCCCAACACTATGCTACAGATTCTACCAGAGCACAAAATCCTGTGCATGCACACAGCACCTCAAGTAATGTTTTGTTAAGCAATAAAACTTGACTTAAACCCTTCACCACTTTCATCCACATTTCAGTTTAGCTATTAGTTTCAACTTGTCTTTGTAAAGAAAATAGCAATCAAGATATTATAGTCAGTAGTAAGTTCCACTAATGAGAATATATTAGATCCTTGAAAATATAGTTAGATTATGATCTTTACTTTTCGCTGCAACAGAGAAAGGTAACAATTATTTGAGAAATAATTGGTGAATTTCAAGATAAATGAGTAAAAGTAATTTATGGTCAACTTTACATAAATAATGTCAAAAGGCCAAAATAGCCATCAATTCCAATAGAAACGAACCTAATTCAGAACCTAATTCCAATAGAAAGGATTTATTCAACTTCAGTTCCTGTAGGAATGGAAAAGAGATCAGGCGAGAAATTTAAAACGACAAAATGTGATATTACAACTGGACATTGAAAGAGTAGGGAAGAACCTTGTAATTTTAGCTGAATATTTGCTAACTTGTCACGTTCTTTCTCAAGTTCTAAGCCCAAGTTATTTATTTCCAACTCATGAGCTGCCTGAATCGCTGCCAGAGACATGTTTTTCTCTTCTAACAAATATGCAAGCTCCTAGAAAGCATTCATATATGTGTTGTCAACTTCAATCATTAGTGTGTGAAAATGTGTAAATTCTTGTAGTGTGTGAAACCCTCCACAATTATGAAGGATCATAGAACTCTTTTAAAAAAGCATAAATCCACTATCCATATTGACACTTGTATCATGAGCTTTTGGAAGACGATTTTATGAATTTGGTATCCCTTGGACCAAACACAACATTGAATCACAACCTTATTTTCTGCTGATAACTCTAATGTAGTAATAACCATTGATTTTAGGTCATTTCCCAAGGAACAAAGAAAATTATATAATATAGGTATCTAGTAGGCCACACATAACTCTTCCACTTCCACACCTCAATGTAACAATGGCACAATCACTTTAGACCTAATTTTGGAGTGTTCCATATCTTGAGGGTAAAGCGCTCGATACAATAGTAAAGGTTAAGGGATCAAGCATCTGGCAGCAGAATGTCGTTCAAGTATAAGGACAGCCACTCTTTGAGGTTGTGCCTAAAGGCCCAAGGTTGGGTACTTTGTACACTTTGATGGAACCACCACTTAAGATAAGTTTCTTCTACTTTTTTAGTTATTCAAATACCAATTAAAATACAGGATGAATGGCCCACTCTAGATGTATGGCAATTGACCAACCAAAAGGAACAATACCACAGTAGAAGAATACAAAGGAAAGATCACCAAGTACAGATGAATTTGCAATGGAAAATCCACTTTTAAGTGTTCAAAAACTATGGCAGTACAGGGCACCACATCTGATCTATCTCTCTCTCTCTCTCTCTCTCTCTCTCTCTCTTACACACAGACACAAGCACATTCATGAGTGGTACTGTTCAACGCTTCTTTAATGCATTTAACTTTTGTCTCATCTATTCATTTTTATGCATGTTTTGGATGTACACAGACAAATGTGGACCATTAGATTGTAAGTCAGAGAACAAGTTGGATAATAAGCTGGCATGTAGAAGTACTGAATGAAGATTGACCAGAGGATTACTCACTTATTTGAGCTCCCAGCCTTCTGCACACCTGATTTGAACAATCTGAATCACATAAAGGACAAACGTTAAATAATGAGATCAAATATCCTGAGAAACTTCCAAAGTTCAGATTAAGTGCACAACGATACAAACCCATTACTGAACATATCTAAAGAGCCAGCGATCATAATCCGTGCATTATTTCTAGCCTGCAACATATAAGAATTTTTAACAAATATGATTCAAGTTTGGTAGATCTCAATACAAAAAGTTAGCATTTATCCACTTAAAATATCTAAACAAAGACTTGGACCGTTGTCAACAAATCAAATTTAACTATAAGTTTGGTAGATCTCAACCAAAAATAAGCATTTATTTATTTACAATAGTGAAAGAAAAATAAAAAATAAAAAAGCCTTCGACCTTTGTCAACTATAGTTAAAGTTCCAAAGTGAAACCACATAAAAAAGAAATTGGTGCAGGAAATGATTAATGCAAATGCAAACCATTCATGAATTACTTATTTCAGTTATGGGCAAATAAATATTAGATGGTCAAAGCACCCAAAACAAATGTTAAAGAATATGAAGTTCAGACATCCCTGCCAATAAGAATTTTTTTTCAAGAAATATTTCACAAGAAATTAACTAAAAATGTTAAGATATAGGCATATAGCATTTTTTGATCAGCAGATATAGGCAAAAAGCATTACAGAGATCGCTTAAACAAACTCCAAGGCAGAAAGAAAAAAAACAACAAAAAATGACCTGCACAACTGAAACCAATGATATAGCAGATCCGGTAAGGGACGGAGGATTTGACAACTTGGATTTTGGATTAGCAGAATATGTAGAAGGAGAGGCTCCAAGAACTTTCATAGCCTACAAATTACATAAGATGTGACAAAAGTGAATTCCTCAACACAAATCCACCGAACACTTTGAGTCACTCTACGTGCATGCTTCTAACTAGGACATAAAACTAGATAAAGCAAAAGACAAACAAAAAGACCTTTAACCTTACCAAGTTATTGGCAGAATTTAATGAATGGCCAATCCCTTTGAAAAGTACAGGGGCCTGTTTCATTGAATATAGAATCTATCAGAAATGCAAGCATTGATTTATTGACTTTAGATGTTTAAGTTGAAAAACATAGAAAAAAGAAAGTAATGAATAGAAAGATAAATTATTATGAAAACGTTAATATCAAAGCACAAACTGTGATAGATATGTACACCACCAACAGCAACTAGATACATGACCTTGAAAATTTTAGATAAGGCTTCAAATATTCTAAAGAGCAGTAGTCCATTGAGAGAGAGAAAGAGGGAGAGAGAGAGAGAGTACAGTAATACAAGTAGTCCATCTTAGTATGTTCTCACTTCACTTATCTTCAATTGGTTACCATTTCATGAATATATCCATTTCTAATTCTCTTTCCTTTTATACTTTAGGAATAGAAACATAATAAGAATTTCCACTATTCCAGACTTGGACACTGCAGGAGAATTGACCACAAAAGCATCAAAATTATGCTCACAAAAGGAGTAAACAACTTTTATTTTTTGAAATTTATAATAATAATAATAATAAAGATTTCAAAATAATAGAACAAACCTTTCTTCAGGAACTCCTGTGAAAGTTCACATTTTGACCCAAAACTGCTTTGGCGAATTGTGAAAGTCTCTTTGGTTTGAGAATCAAAAGCTGGGTTGTCAATAAGAGCATTAACAAAAACCCATAGATGGATCTTCACTGCGTGGGCTTTGAGATTAGCATTCTTATTCTTTTTATTAACAATACTCATTACATAGTTTGTAATTTGGTGATGTTCATAATCAACATGAGTCCCACCCTTAATTGTCGCAATCGAATTTACAAAGCTGACCTGGAAAGTCATCAACCCATCAAAATTAAACATTAAGTTTCATCAATACAGTGTACATTATATACATCCTATTTATAGAACTACATTCCAATTCTAACACCATCTGTACCTGCACATCAAACAGTATATATGTAGATACAGTGTACATTATATACATCCTATTTATAGAACTACATTCCAATTCGAACACCATTTGTACCTGCACATCAAACAGTATATATGTAGATACAGTGTACATTATATACATCAAACAGATAGATACAGTGTACATCATATACATCCTATTTATATGGTCATAATGATGCATCCCTCCATCAACAGTATAATATCCTCCTCATACAATATATTATTTTCCATTAAAGTAATGAACCTAAAATTAATTAAAAAAGAATTATGTGATAGGAAATAACCTGCACATCAAACATTGCATCAGGGTTGACAATATATCCGGTTTTTTCTTTGAGAAAGGACATAACCTTCATCTTGTTGCTCCTTTTTGCTTCCCTCCATTCTGATTGAAGCTCCTCATCATCAGCAAACTGCAGGTAATTAACTCAAACTAATCATGCTATCACAAGAAATGTTTGACTTGTATCTAAAAGTAATTATAGAAAGAAGTATATATGTGCACGATGGGACTCAATAAAAGAAGTATACGAGAAAAAATGGCACCTAGAAGTCCATAGAATTAAAATCTGACATCTTTTACACCATACAAAGTCAGGGGAGACTAGATAGCAGGTGTTATCCAAAATGCCTGGTTAATTTCTGACAGTTTCTGGATGGATTATATTTTTATCAAGCACGCAGTGGCCAAAATTTTTCACTTAGTGGGACATGTTCTTGTGATAATGATCCAATTTATTGATTTGGAATGAATGTTGAAGGTATTGAAACAATTAACAAATATCTGATTTGGATGCTTCAGTCTACCTGTCGAAGATCTGCCAACTTCTCAGTGTTTATCAACCAGTCTTCTGTTCCCGTCCACTTGGTTATGATTTTACTTAGATGTGGATGGCAAAAACGAATCCACCTTCTTGGTGTCACTCCATTTGTTTTATTTTGAAATTTCTCAGGCCACAACTGCCAAAAACCAACATGCAGAAAAATTATCTCACACCACAAAGAATTAGTTTCCTAGATTGAAGTCCATTTTCCTTTTTTTTTTTTGAACAGCAAAGATAAAGATTTATTGATGATATAGCAAAAAACATGCAAAATTACATCAACAAATCGGAAAGTGCACAAAGATTGGTGAGAAGTCAATCAAGAGCAACCAGAAGATGAAAAATAGAACAATAACACAGCAAAAACAGCTTCGAACAGTAGGCCAAACAGAACAACTTCAAAGCAGAACAGAAACAACTTCAGCAACACAAAACAACCAAACAGTCCATCAACAAAACAGAACAACTTCAAAGCAGAACATCAGCAGACCAAATAGCAGCCTCAGAGCAGCAACATAGAGCAATAGCATACACCATTAAATGCATAAGTGCTGTGTATGAGTTGTTAAGTGATGATAGTTTTGTCTGCTCTGCTGAAGAAGGTTTTGAATAAGTGCTGTGTATGAGTCCTGGATCTGTTGAGGAGATGGCTATGTGTTCAGGAGGCCTCTGACCTGTTGGATTTAAGCTGGTATAGTATGAGCTAAATGGGACTGCTGTAAGTAGTTTTGTTCCTGTAGCAGTGTTGTGATGAACTTGATGTGCTGGGTTGCGTCTGTCTTGGGATGGTCTGGTTTCTGCTCAGTTTAGCATAGTCTGCTGATGGCAAGAGGTGTAGTCTGATTTTATCTGCTGGGCATTTGGTCTGAACTCTGCCTTCATTCAAACAGGTCATGGTATGCTCTCAGAATCAACAGGGGAGGATGATCCAGAGGAGATTCAGCAGTATGTACAGAGGACTGATTTCTTGATCTGTATAGAGGAGGGTGGTCTGTGCAGTGGAGCATGTTCTTGGTCTGTGCAGTAGAGTGTGTTTCTGGGGGCTAATTCACCTTGAATCTGGTTTGGGTTGGACTGTGTAGGATGCAGATGGAAGGCTGCAGCTCTGTGTTGTTTTTGTTGTTTTTTTTGGTATTTCAATTGGTTCTCTGTTCCTTTTAGTTTTGTCTTTCTGTTTCTTGCTTCTTTTCTTGTTCTCTCTTGTTGGTTCCTCACCAGCTGGCGCTTGGTGCTTTTTAGCACCAAGCTCCTCTTTATTGATGTAATATTGCTCTTTGTGTGTTTCATCAATAAAGATTTATCTTTGCCGATCAAAAAAAAAAAAAGTGAGATAAATAATTTTCACTTGCCCACGCCTGTTTTTGAAATAAATATAGAAATATATAGTTTCATCTATATGGTTGTTTTATATTGTTAGATGTAGGATAAAAAAATTCACAAATTTTGTTGGATAAAATATCCATTGGGATATAATTCGGATAACAAAAATTATAACCAAACAATAGAATGTGAGTCTCATGAATTAATAATATCAATCCTATGCTATAATCCATCAAATCAATCATGTGCTTACGTTAATCATTTCCATGTATTACGCTTTCTCGTCAGTAGGAGTATCATGTAAATAATGCCATATAATACTTAAAATCTCATGAACAACACTACCTGGATGAGAAGCAGCCAATTGAGGCCACAAATCTTCGAAGAAACAAATGACACTGCTAAATAGGTCCATTTTAATAATAAAATGAAACATAAAAACGTATTCGTACACTGCAACTTTCGGATTTTATAGAATTTTGCTCTATAAATGAAGAGAACAAACACTGAAAACCCTACTCAATGGTGGTCAAAAACTACTTTTCTCAAATTGGAGAATTCCATATATAATGGGCAATCTTCTGCCTTGTCATAATCTCCAAATGTTCAGACTGTGTGGCAAACAAACATAAGCCCTTACGCTCATCGAAAAACTACCAATTCTGTTATCCTCAATTTGTTACATAGAAATTAAAATCCGATGACAAATTTGCCAAAAAGAGAAAAATGGGACTCACTCTCAGCCACAACATTTAACAAGTTGTGATGTTATTAGATTACATAATCAGTGGTTGTGCTAGTAGTGTGCTTTTCATTTTTTAGTCCACATGAGAAAGGGCTAGACAGTGGGTGATGGCACTAGTGCTCAGTGACATTGGTTTTCCTGTTCTTATGTTCGGAAAATTTTGTGAGAGTGGAAAAGTTATGTAATTCTTTCAAGGACGAAAAGGACTTTTTCCTGTCATTTTTAGAAAACTTGGCTTTTAAGGGTTCTATCATAATGAATAATTTTATTTTTACACAACATTTACTCATTGTACATATCATTTTTCAGTGTATACATATATAAATTTGTTTACATATTGTTTTACTCATTTCACACTGCAAATATTCTAATATGTCCCTAAGACATAATACGTGCACACACATCAACACAAAAATTCAACACATTATGTACACATACCACATAAAATATAAAATCACACCATACTCCTAAACGTAAGCCTAAATTGTGCCGTACACACGTTATTTTTTGACAATCTCCGGCAATATTGTGACGATTGAAGCACAACAAAAGAAGCATATGAAGTACAGCATTCTCTGACATTCTCTAAAGTATACGATTTTTAAAAATCAATAATTTTGAGTTATTATTTTACTATTTCTACAAAAAAACTAGGTTATTGTTTTACTATTTTTGTTTTTCCTTTCCTATTAAGAGAATGAAATTCATTGCTACTGGTTATCTGAATAAATTTAAACAATTTGACAATCAACAACCGAATAAACAATAATTTTTGACTATGTCTTTCTGAATAAAATATAAATTTTCAAGATACAAAGGAAAAACTTTCGATTTTGTATCTCCGAATTAATTTTATAGTTTTTAGTTTGTGTATTTTGTTTTTGGTCCTGTAATTCTGAACTATTGACATTTTTTTGGTTATGTATTTTTGGATGATTTTTTTTTTATTATTTTTATTATTATTATTATTATTTTTCATCCTGTGTGTTTGCATTTTTTCGGTCTTGAAAAAAAGATGTGTACTGAGAATTTTCATATTCAAAAGTTGTCTATAAAGAAAATCTAGTTTTAAAGTTTGGTGTGTATTGATGTCCATATTGATTATTTTATTTAATGATAAAATTATAAAAAAATTATTTATTGTGTACAGAAAGTAAAGGATGTATGCAAATAGAATTACCCAACAATTATAGTTTCAAGATCAATCAAGTTGTATATGACTTTGGCTTGCACTTGACTTGTCTGGAGGTTCATTTAAGATATCGAGGACTTCTATGATAAATGAGCAAATATTTTGTGCTCATATCAAGTTATTAAGCTATCTAATCAGTGCATTTTTATTTTTTTTTATTATTATTTTTTTTATATCAACGAAAAGAAATTTTATTGATAGATTGCAGTCTCCAAAATATAAAGCTTACATCAATAAAAGGGGTGAGTGTAAAAAGCATTTGATCTAATGATTGTATAGAGTATCACTTTTTTTTGATCAGCAAAAAATTTTTTATTGATGAAAAACATACAAAGTATGAAGGATACATCAATAAAGAGGAAGGTGCAAAAAGCATCACAATGGAACCTCATGATTACAATGGAACCTCTAATAATTTCACTTTTTTTTTAGTGTGAAATTATATATTCAACACTTACAGAGGGGAATTTGATACTTGTGGTGTGTATTTCATT